CTGTAATAGCAACTGTTCCAGGGAAGGCGCTAGGGACAAGCTAAGATCTAGTGTCATTTTTTCACGTGGTTTTGACCCTCATTCATGCTGATCTCACCAAATCCATCAGTGAGAAGTGCTGAAAAGGAAGCTGGCTAGCTAGCACGGCCCCTACTGTATGTATTCAGTTGTGCAGAAGCAGTGGCTGTACTGTGTTCCATTTATAATATACATTCAGTCACCTCAAAAATTTCATCTGTCTTGGATATGGGTGTGCAAATGTACCAGTAGGGTTGGACAATTAGTTACCAGATGAAAAGGAGGACAAAGTTCCTGTATCTTTACTTTGTTCCTTAGAAAAAGGAAAGTCAACAGTTTTTGAACATTCATTTAGGGAATGTTGGGTAACCTGTAGCAAAGACCAAGGTCACTAAAGTACCCACAGAGATGACAAACTACTTGCCATTCCATCCTGTGCAACCTCCTGAACTGAGAACAGGCCACAATATATCTGCCATCCAGAACCAAAATGGGGCATTAAGTTGACAGGCAAAGTTGTTAAGCCTCAAGACTAGCCCTGGAAACATCTACCCCTGCCATGTTTGGTTGCACACTTTTATTAAGGAAGATTCCTAGGAAACAGGCTGACCAGCTCAGTCCAGATGTGCCTGGTGATGTTCGTTCTAAGAGCTGCATAGACCCTCTGCTGGCACAAATCTGCAATGGCTGCAGGATAACCATCTGCACTCCCAAATTCCAAAGAAAGCAAAATTCAGTTATGAAGAAGGAGGGTGTATAAAGTGTTATCAAACAGTGATATCTGACAAACAATGATATCTTGTAAGTCAGATCTACAAATGAAGGATCTGTCTGCTTACCACAACCATGTTCCTTTAGGATCCAGATCCAGGGAGATTAATGTCTGGGCTAAGGCCATTTAGGGCTTTAAAGGTCAGCACCAACACTTTGAATTGTGCTCGTACTCGTACTGGGAACCATGGCTGCTATCAACTGCCCTATCACTACCCTATTCACTTCAAATTTGTGTTGGCTCCGCATCTTGACATGATACATCAAAATTCCCAAAATAAGAAAAAGTGGGGGGAAGCCCACAGTAGCAATTTGGCCATCTGTTGTACAAACTTTAACAGAGTTCTGACATATGGAATGAATATCATGTTCTGCAAGGCTGGATGTACTGGAACAAAAGACAGTCTTTGCACTAAACAACCATCACATTCAATAAGTGACATCTGGCAATCTTATCTGGACCTCAGCCAGCATTGGATTATGATAAAGTGAAGCAGTGCCCATGGCATCTTCTCATCAGATGAAACAATAAGGCAATCATATTTTTAAGGGTCAATTTGAAATTGCCTCACAACCTTCAGAGCCCCATTATTGGGCTGTGAATGTTCTGTGCTTTCTGCACATTCCAGGGAAGACTTAACATGTTTTTATGACTTGTTTGAACAGGGAACAAATGGAGAACTTAAATCTTTAGCAGCTCAAGAATCACTAGCTTTTTTGGGGGGGGAGCAGGGGGAGGTTCAGCTGACACCTTCATCACACACCTTTAGGCTTCAGATGAAAACATTTCTCTTCACCCAAGCTGTTGGCTGATTAACATCTAATAATACCAGGCTTCAGGGAATCAGCTCCCTGCCTCTCCCACCAACCTGGCAGTAAATAAGTAGAACCAAGGAAAATGTGTCTTCTTACCAGTTAGAAACTTTAATAATCACAGTGAGAGAACAAAGAACATATCTCCTAGAAATGGCGGTGCTCCCAATTAAGAATCACACCCCCTCCTGTCCCTATTAATCTATGTCACTCCTACATTTTTTAATCTGAGCTTGGAGCCACTGTGTTTTCTGTTCTGCCATTTTCTGAGCTCTCCTGGACTTTGGGAGAGAGAAGTGGATCCAGAGACTGTGAATCTGTTAACTCACTCTCTTCTAGTGTTTCTTCTGCTAGCTGTTCCCCATCCAGTATTTCCCAGCTTCTGCCTTCTGAACTATGCCCCTCTGCAAACCACTGTTCCAAATCTATACTGTCCTCTGGCTCCTGGGAAGATTCAGGATCAGGAGGAGGGGGCGGCTCCCATCATTCTTCATCAGTGAAGCCCTTCTCAGCACGGTCCCTGACTAATAACATCCAATATATTGTGGGAATGGGGTCGGGTTATTCTAGGTCTGGAAGGACACACATGGCCAGGATTGCCTTCACAGGTTATGCAGAAAGCCTTGTCTCCTCCTCTTGGATCTTCTCCACTAAGAACTAAGACACACACACACACACACAAGTTTATGAAACTTGTGGCTGTTTTGGGTAAAGACATAGAGGTTTCTGATGGGATGGGGAATGCTACAGACCAAAGCTTCCAATCCTAACTTCACTTGGCTGGGAGTGAGTAGCACTGAAATCACTTGGGCTTACTTTTGAGTGGACATAATTAGGATTGCACTACAACTAGCCTTTATTCAACTGTGGAAGACGGTATGCATGTGTAGGATGAGTGACTGGGGTGAGGGGAGGAGTGGTGTGGTCAAGAGGGAAAGGAGTAAGCAACTTTCAGATATGTAATCATCAAGCCATGCCCACACCTTGAGGTGTGGTTCATGTGGACATTGCAATGGAAAATCACAATGGTGTGAATACAACTTTGAAACTCATTCAACAAGAAAGCATGGGAAAGTCGCCCACAAAATATTATGTCTGAATACACTCACTGTAAAGCCCCCACATTTGAAAGTCCCTTAAATGTGTTGAGAATACCCTTGCCCCACCAAGGTCGTTCCACCCTTCCCACTCCCTAGAAATGTGGCAGATGTTTTATTGAGAAAACGTTTGGCATAGTTTGGCATTTATATGGTTTTTGAGTAGGTTTTCACTCCACCTTCTGGCTGAAATCATTTTGGAGGTGTTAAAGATAAGAAGTCATTCAAACTGGACTTATTGAAATGCATTTATTCCTTGTTCCAGTGTACTTTTGTCTTGTAATCTAGGAAAAGAGAGAAAGATCCCATTGAAGCTTTTGTTTCAGTTAGCAGCAAATTAAACATCTTTCCAGAACTTTGTTTAATTTCCCCTTGTCAACTGTTCAAAGCTATTGAAAGTGATAAGAAGCTATTCCATCATTTTGTCCTAGCTTTTCAATAAGGGAATCCCCAAGCGCCATATAGCTTCCTGCAAATCACTCATCTTTTGTTCATTCTAATAATACTGTTAGAATGAGATATAATTTCTAATGAGAGACCGCACCACACGGAAGGCCTTTTACTTGAATGGGTTTATCAGATTTCAGTTGATATTTCACAAAGTGCCTTGGTTCAAAAGCAAGTGAGTTGCAGCTCTCCCCCTGTCCACAAAACCCTGTGTACTATCTTGAAAGCTGTGAATGCACTTCTCTTCCTTTATTCTTAATTGCTTGATATATTCCTTGCTTGAATTAATTTACAATGGAATTGCCAATAATAAAGGCACTGGGAGTCCAGCTGCCATTCAGGAGAGCGTTTAGATCTGAACCAATGTTGAGATCAAGCTCCGAGAGCTCCGGCGCTCACTGGAATAGAACTCATCAGAAAGTTAGTCAGAAAAATAAATGGTAGGACTTGTCCCGCCACACTAAACTTAAAGTCATCTGGAAGCAGTGTGCTCTGGAAGTGAGAGTTTGTTTAGTTTTGGTTTTGAAGTGAAAGTGAGCAAAGATCAGTTCAAGGTGAAGATTAAAGACCTGTCTTTGCTGCCCAATGTCGAAAGAGAGATATCCTTTAGAACATCTAAATTTCTTGTAACAAAACTTGAGGGGGGAACAGAAAATGATTTATCCACTAGGGGTAAGGGAGTAGAAATGTAAACCATTATTAGTAGCAGTATTCCTGTTAGGTTTGCCGTACGTCTGGAATTTCCTGGACATAGCCAGCAATTGGCAGTCGTAAATAGTGTCTGGAAGGAAATCACTTAAATGTCCAGAGAAATCCATACATATGGCAACCCATGTTGACGGTGTCTTTTTTGGAGATTTCCTTTAAAAATAGCTCAAAAATGTCTCTCTCTCTTTTTTTGAGATTTTGCAAAAATAGTTTAACAACTTTGGCCAACAACAGCTCAACAATTTTTCTGTCCAGATTTTCACTTTTTGAAATAAGGCAACCCTAATTCATGTTGTTATTATTTTCTGTGTGTAATGGCTGTTTGCTAAACCCAATAAACCAAACTGACTGACCAAGAAGATTCATGTACAAAGTTAACGTGGATACACCTCCACAATGCTGTGATCATCCTGTCCCACTGAGCTTGATGGAGGCACATGCTGTGTAGGGCAGCTTATAGGACTAACATTGGACTCCTATACATCAGGAGGTAGGGAACAGTTGGCTCTTCAGCCCCGGGAAACCTAGCCAATGGTCCCAGCAAGTTTTTCCCCTCCTTCCTCTTAAGTTGTGAAGAGTTTTTCTTCTCATGGTTTACTGGGCTGCATGTCCAACAAGTCCAGTGATGATGCTGATTGTGGTGTCCCAGGGTCTCATGTGGAGATATTTCCCCCTGTTGTTAAATGAGCCTGACCCTGGTATCTTCTCTATGCAAAGCATGGATTCGGCTCCTGTTCTATGGCCACCAACCCAGTCAAGGCATGTAGAAGGATGTCCACCTTACCCCACTGCCAAATCTAAGCTCTGTTTTCTAGCCAGTGCAACACTATGTATGTGTATTTCCTTGGCCCAGGGCATGAATGTGCAAATGCAGTCCTATTCCTATTTAAAACTGCAGCAAAGCACTCATTCTCTACACCAATAGGATGGAAATCAGCAAGGAAGTGTCTGTATAATTGAGAAACTGTCTGGTTCTATATGTTGCACACACACATACACACAATCCTAAAGGTACATTATATTCCTGTCCTCCTTTTGTGATAACTGCAGCATATTCAGAGCCACTGAATGGGAAAACAGCTTGATGGTTGCCTGTCATTGTCTCCTTCCCCTCCCCACCCTCCCCTTGTTTTTATTACTTTCCAGGGTAATGTGACTTTTGCCTGCTCAGAACCACAAATCACTCCCATCACCTTTGACAGCTCCAACAACAGTTACTTGCTGTTACCAGGCACTCCCCAGCTTGATGGCTTGTCAGTTAGCTTCCAGTTTCGGACGTGGAACAAGGATGGTTTGCTGCTATCCACGGAGCTGTCAGAAGATTCCGGTTTACTCTTGTTATACCTCCAGCATGGAAGGATGTCACTCATCATCCAGAAAGGAGCAGAGAAATATGTAGGCGTTAGTGCAGGTATTGCACATCTAATAGAAACATTTTCTTTCTTTCGGATTCTTTGTTTCTATACTGGCTTTCCAAATTAAGCAGCTCAAAAGAACAGTAAACATATCAATATGTTATTGTACCTACATACAATGAAAACATAGCCATAGATCTATCAAACACATGCCATGATACAAGTGTTTGGCTCCACATTAGGAAGCTAACAAAAAACATCACAATTAAAGTTCCTCTAAGCACATGATTTGCCCTTTGGAATGAGTTCCCAGTGAAAGTCAGCCGGTTCCTACCATGTTGACATTTAGATGCCTGCTTGAAACTCATCTGTTCACCCAGGGTTTCCTTGATACAGTGCTGTTGATGCATTTTTTTAAAATCATAGAATCAGTGCTTTTTTCTGGGGGTACGCAGGGGTACGCATACCCCTAAACATTTTGTGAATCTACATTTGGTCTCATTGAGGGGCAGTATTTTATATGAGTAGGGAAATGAGAGTCCCCCTAAACATTTTTAAGGGGAAAAAACACTGCATAGAATCATAGAATTGCTGAGCTTGGAAGGGCTCCAAGGGTCATCAAGTCCAACACCTTGCAATGAAGGAAGCACAGCTAAAGAATCCACAACAGGTGGCCATCCAACCTCTGTCTAAAAACCTCCCACATTGGTGGTATAGATTTTCTTTTTTTGGGGGGGGGATGAATGAATGAATAATAAATACAGTCTCCAAAAATACCATTTTATTTAATAAACTCTTCAATAAGGTCAGTAACAGAAAACTACATCAATATCAAACTGTTTCATTTTAAACCAGTTAAATTCAAGTATCACCTTAACTGAAGTATCACAGCAGAAGTATTGTAGAATGCTGCAGAAAACAGAGGTGTGTTAATCTCCCATCCACATGCCAAATTCTCCCCATTATGCACCAAATGGAGTAGTGCTTTACAAACATCTTTCAGCAGCCTTTATAACTGGAGTCAGACAGGGTGCCACCCACCCAGGTCCAGTGGAAATGAGCCAGAGAGAGAAGCAGGGAACAGATCTTCTAGGCCTCATAGGTGGCCAGTCCCTGGCTTTCCAACATGAAACATGACATCAAAACAGTATCCTTTGTTTTAAAGGGAAGTGAACATTGGGCAACTCAAGCTGAGAAGAACCATCTTTTATCCCCTCTGCCAAATCCAGCGAGAGGGAAAATCCCAACAGTATGCTGGCTTGTGGTTGACATGACAGCATGCCCTTGGCTTGATAATAGGCTGAAGGTTATTGCATGCTGATATAGCAACTCAAAAGACAAGAAGTAGTAAAAGCACAGCAACAAATCTAGCCCCTTAAAATCTAGAGCAGTAACTGCTGCAGCAAAAATAGACCAAGTTCTATGAACAAGATAAGCATTTATATGCATGAACTTCCTTGCATCCAATGGAGTAAGTTTACAATACCAAGGAAAATAAGTAGTCTTTAAGATGCCATAGAATTATTTGGCAGCAGTCCTAAGTAGAGCCAAACCAAAATTCTTTTAGCTTTTGCTCTCCTTGTTTTGGTAAGCAACCCCCCCCCCAATTTTTTTATCCTTTTATCTTTGTAATAGTTATATTCAAGCTTATAAACCCCAGCCTACTTTATGCAGTCACATAGACTGGTGGAAGGGTGTAAAGAAATTGAGTCGTATCCAACAAAGGACATGATCCGCCTTCTCTAACTTGGCTGGGGCTGATGGGAGCTTCAGTCCAGTTTGGGGAATGCTTCTCCTCAGCATGCATTTAGAACAGTGTTTCTCAAACTTGGGTCCCCAGCTGCTATTGGACTACAACTCCCATCATCCCTGGCTGCTGGTCCTGCTAGCTAGGAATGATGGAAGTTGTAGTCCAACAACAACTAGGAACCCAAAGCAGAAGACAAAAGTCTAAAATTCAACAATTCTTTAGTGGGACAAAGAGGGAACAGAGGATTTACAGTGCCTCTAAATCGAAGGCTTCCTTCTTTAGTTCAGTGGGGTGCAAGGATATACACTGGTATCCATCCCCTTCATTGAAATGAATAGATATATTTATATATGTAACAGCTTCATGTAGTGTATGAGGACTCTGGCTCTGGGGACAAGTTTCATGAATGTTAGCTTGTTTATACCTGGTGTGTGTGTGCTCCCCCTGACATTGCCTGAGTGACAGTTTTGTTATTTCCCTAAAGGACAGTAATTACTCACAAGCTTCCCCTCCTCCTCCACTTCATTCTTGTCCCCCATGAGTAGTTGATCTCTTTTCCACTCCTTGTTTCCCAGGCAGCAATCTGTATGATGGTCTGTGGCATGCAGTTAACATCAATGCTAGAAGACATCGCATCACCCTAACTCTCGATAATGATGTAGCATCTACAGTTCATGCAACCACTGTTTCACAGATTTATTCAGGGCACAGCTACTATTTTGGAGGTATGTTGCTTTCCAGTGCTGTTGCGGTGACTAAAAATGATGAATCTGTCCATTTTTGTTAGTTGTTATTCTTAAAAGAACCAATGTTGTTATCTATTATGTTTTATGTATGTATGTTTGTATGTGTGTATGTTTCTTTATTTTAAAAAGAGGATCTGATAGTAAACAATTATCACATGTCTCCCAAACCATTGGAAAGCTACATGTTTTTGGGGTTAGCTGTCAAAATAGATAAGTCACAACATACTGAGAAACCAAAATACACAGACGCCTCTGAAATGAAAATGTGTCAGCCCTGTATGCAGCCTGATGAATTTGATATAAGTATGATGGTAGAAAGTTTTGGGAAGGCAGATAATAATGGTTAGGAGTGGATTGCACCTTTTCACGTCAATGATGGATGTATCTATATAGGGTTTTGTCATGCTGAGTTCCAATTGAAATCCACAGTGGAGAAGTGCAGTGATAAGTGCTTATTTTTTCATTACTTTCAGTCAGAACTAATCATACCTAAACTGCTCTCGATTGCACTTTAAACATTTCCTGTAAATGATATCCAGACCATGTGATAAGTTTTCTTTTGTTTGTTTCGGTGAGTGACCTCCACTTAGTTTTATATCGCTGGAGAAGGAGAAATAGCAGAAGAGAGTATGTCCTCTTCACTTTCTTCAGTCTTCATATCATCTATATATCTGCCACTATTTGAGCTCACATATGGACACAGAAGGTGGTGGTGGTGGGGACAATGTGTGCACATGCATGTGCACATTTGAGTGTGTGCACTTTCTTTGGGGAAAATGTAAGAGCATAAGAACAGCCTGCTGGTCAATGGCCAAGCATCATGTTCTCACAGTGACCAACCAGATGCCTTTGAGAAGCACACAAGCAGGACTCCCCTCACCTGATTCCAAGCAGTTGGTATTCAAAGGCCTACCCAGTGGAAGTGGAACATGGCCATTGTGACTAGTAGCCATGGATAGCCTTCGCCTCCATATATTTGTCTAAACCTCTTTCAAAGCCACCCAGTCCTTTGGCCATAACTTAACTACTTGCTGCTGGCCATAACTTAACTACTTGCTACTTTCTTTTATCTGCCCTGAATCTGATAACATTCAGCTTCAATACTGACTGACTGCTTCAGAAGGAAATATGGTGCCTTGATTCAGTGCTCTAGTCCTGGTGCCTTCATTATACACCTTTAGGTGCCAGGCAAAAACATTCCTCTTTAACCAGGCCTTTGGCTGTTTGACACCCAAGGCCCTTTTCAAATGTGTTTTGTGGGAGGGAGTTACTGGGTTGTTTTTGTTTTTATTACGTAATTTGTGTTCTTAAACTGTGATTTTATGTTGTAACCACCCCGAGACCTGTGGGTAATAGCGTGGTAGGGACCCGGATGGGGCTGTGGTCTAAACCACTGAGCCTCTTGGGCTTGCTGATTGGAAGGTCAGCAGTGCAAATCCGCCTGACAAGGTGAGTTCCTGTTGCTCTTTCCCAGCTTCTGCCAACCTAGCAGTTCGGAAGCACACCAGTGGAAGTAGATAAATTGGTACCACTGCGGTGGGAAGGTACCGTAAACGGCATTTCTGTGTGCTCTGGCTTCCATCACGGTGTCCCATTGCACCTAAAGCAGTTTAGTCATGCTGGCCACATGACCCAGAAAGCTGTCTGTGGACAAATGGTGGCTCCCTCAGTCTGAAGCGAGATGGGCGCCACAGCCCCATATTCGCCTTTGACTGGACATAAACCATCCAGGGGTCCTTTACCTATTTACCTATGGGGTGGTATACTAATTTAATTAATAAAACAACAACAACAACAACAACAACAACAACAACATAATCACAGTAGATCATGTCAATTAATTGTTTGGCAGCACACACCTGACCCAGAAATACTATGCACACACTCCCTTGTATCTGTTTAGTAGGAATCTCTGGATTTAGACCTATAAACCTGAGGATAGTTTATCACTTTCTGGATGAAGGCCCTCTAACAACCATCCTTTGTTTAGCTGAGCTGCTGTTAATGAAGTGGAGATTGGATCCAGGGAGAAAATATCTAAAGGGATACCCTGGGATAGTAGAAACCTGAACTGTTCAGACCAAAGAAAATCTGATCTAGAAGCTTTTACAAACATGAGTCTATGATTGCACATACACTATACCTTTAAATGGCATTTGAAGGACATTCTTTCCCTTAAGGAATTTTGAGCACTATAGTTTTTTAAGGGTTTTCTGGGAAATGCAATCCTATGAGGGGTAAGCTGCACTGTCCAGAATTCTTTGAGGGAATGAATGCGATTGAAATATGCTTTAAAGGTATGATGTGTACACATGGTATATATCATATGGTCTGTTCTAGTCTAGCAGCATATAAGCGGTTTCTGGGGGGTTTGGCTGGTCATTATGTAATTCCCTCATTTTGGCTAGTGATCACTGTGGGCACAAAAACTCTATTTGTGTGACATTAGCTAAGGCTCCAGAATTTTGGCTTGTAGGAAACACTGCTTGCTCCCATATTTTCAAATATGTTTGTCTATGAGCCATTCACATATTGCTTGTTCAGACAAGGCAGAATCACAATAAAATAATTGTTCTTCTGCACTAGTATACTGCCAAATATAATATTTTAGAATCACCATAAGTGCTACTTGCATTTGAATATACACTTCAAAATTGATGTGTGTTATAAACTCTTTGAAAACATCAACCCATAGAGTGCAAAATTTAGCAGTTTTCTTTATAACTATGAAGTGTTGCTTTCCAGTTTTTAATTGAAAGTTGTTTTTTTAAAAAAATATTGTTATCAAGCTTGGGGCTTGGTGGGTATTTATGCCATCCAAAGCTCCTGTGATTAAAATCAAGAAAGAGGACAACAGTAACATTGTAAGCAATTTAAAGAAGCACCCTTGTGGAAGCACAATTAACAGGCTCTCTGCATTTGGGCTCATCTTAACCCCTATATAAAGTCCTTATAAACTCAAATCTTTCTTTCTTTAGAAGCAAACATAACCAGCAAGGTGGGAAAGATTTTGCACCTCTGTGTATTTCAGAGTTATCTTTGGAGATTTTAAAATTCTTGCTTCCTTAAAGTTCCTTCCTTCCTTCCTTCCTTCCTTCCTTCCTTCCTTCCTTCCTTCCTTCCTTCCTTCCATCTGTTTAAAGATGGGCTGCGTGCATCTTTTTAAAATAACAACAGCAACATTGTCTTAACCCCCCTTCACTCACCCACCCACTATGCTGTGAAGGGTAGGACATTTGCCTCAGTTTAACCCTGTTTGGCTATGATGGCTGCTTTTATATTGTGGCAACGCTTCTGTTGCTAACCTTTTTGCAGGATGTGGTGGGATTAAAGACTTCTTTTTGGTTTGACTTTTGCACCTATGATATTTCACAGAGTTTACTCTGTGCTCCTCGATTATATCCGGAGTGCAAACTGCTTTCAGATGACATTTTCATTTCCCCTCTCTGATTCTCCCTCAGCGTAGCAGTACTCTTAGCCCAGATGCTGACATGACCCTAGCAAGCTGGTGTAAAGCTCAGCGCAATTTAAATGCCATATGGAAAAAGGTGGCATAGGGTTTCTAGGGCATACCTTATCAGCAGGCAGCATGGAGCCAATACTTAGACATCTGCCAACTGTCAATTCATTGCTACTATTACCTAATTGTATTAGCCGATGGTCATTCCATGGCTTAGCCAGGCATATAGAACCTTTAATTCTATTCCTGTGTCAGTTTGCTTGCTCAAGTGCTGTGGAACTGATTCCTGGATGGGCCTGCACAATCTGTGACCCAGCAAGCCCAAATGAGCCACCCGTCATATATTATAATTTGTCACTGACTTGACAGTCTCCCCATTTTGGCAGGGAAATGTGCGAAATCAGTCTTGGTACATTATAGTGGGCTGCAAGGGCTTAATCAGAACAAGCACAACAAAGGGAAATGGAAGCTTATAACGGATTAGGTCTTCCTGTTCTATGGTAACACTAAGAAGTCCTGGATTCAGAGAGATGGACTCACTGTGAAAAGTGTGGGAAGCATAACCTGGCAGAATCTCATCATATAAGGCCTGAGATGCTGAGAGATGGGGACAATATTTGTAATCACATAAAGAAGGCTCAAGATGCAAAATGTGTGTGAATTTATTAAATATAACAAACTGGAGGATCTGCAAAAACAAAAAACAAACAAGCCACAATTAACCACATTCAGGCATAGGCAAACTCAGCCCTCCAGATGTTTTGGGACTACAGTTCCCATCATCCCTGACCACTGGTCCTGTTAGCTAGGGATGATGGGAGTTGCAGTCCCAAAACATCTGGAGGGCTGAGTTTGCCTATGCCTGGGTCAAATCATAGGAGTCTGAGTAGGTGAGTTCTTGATAAGGAAAGATTGGATCCCTCCCATCTCCTGGGCATGTTTACAGTTACAGTGGTACCTCTGGTTACAAACACTTCTGGTTGCAAACGCTTCAGTGTTACGAGCTCTGCTAACCCAGAAGAAGCTGCTCCTGGTTGCGAACTTTGCCCCAGGATGCAAACGGAAATTGTGCGCTGGAGGCCCCATTAGCAAAAGCACACCTTAGGATAAGAACGGTTTCAGCTTAAGAACGGACCTCCAGAACGAATTAAGTTTGTAACTAGAGATACCACTGTACAATCTATGGCCACACAGCAAAGGATTAGAAAGTCATTCTCCCTCCTTGCAACATGAACCTTGGGTTTTTCAGACTCAACAAGCACACCATGGCTCTGCTATCTAGAATTCAATACGGTGTTCATGCAATGCCTAAAGCACACCCCCAAAGACCTCCCCTCCCAAGCCAAAGGAACTGGAAGGTGAATAAAGAGTGCCCTTAAGCCATTAACACATCAGATGTTTAACCAACCAGTTCTGCTTGCCTGGACCAAATGCCACATGCGGCTATCAACTCCAGCAAGTTTGCCTCCATCCCCAAACACACAAGATTTCATAGAGAGCTCTTTGCAGATCCTCTAAAAAATGTCACAACCCAGGACAGAGAGGTGGGCACCATCATCTCTGTAGAACTAGGGAGAATCAAACCTCTTTGCGCTATGGGAATGTTAAGGCAGCCCTGTTCAGGGAAGTTTTTAACGTGTGATATTTTAGTGTATTTTTGGTTTCTATGGAAGCCGCCCAGAGTGGCTGGGGAGGCCCAGCCAGATGGGCGGGGTATAAATAAATTATTATTATTATTATTATTATTATTATTATTATTATTATTCCACCCACTTGGGCCAGAATGAAGTTTTCACTAATCAACTCACTCCCTGCCGTGCCTTGTCAACCTTAAGAGGATGCATGGCTGCCCTCCAAGCTTGGATGAGGCTAGTATTGTCTGGAGCCAAAGTTCAGATTCAACAAAGATCCCCTGATAACCTAATATAGCCAGATCTGTCCTTTGGACAAGGTTCTTTTCTCCTCAGTGGATAACAAGTTTGTGTGACGTAGGGCCAGCTGCATCCAGATGACAGGGTCAGCTGTACCTGCTATACAAGGGTCCTTCCTAATGGAATTTGTACAGATGCTCCTGGTAGGTTCTGCCCTTCAGATCCAATCCTCAAACATCCAGTTGAAAACAGTGGCAACTCTTTGACTGCACTTTGACTGCACTTTGTAGCTTTAAAAGAAGACAAGCAAAAACTTTGAGCTTCTCCAAGTATCTGTATTCTGTCAGCATTATTGCCTGCTTTCTTTCTTTAATTTTTATTTATTGCCATAGAATTTGTAACTTGCTCACATCGAGCAGGCAATGAGAACACTAGGAATAATTAGACCTTCCATCAGTGAACCCCCAAGGAAATAAATTATCATTTAAGTATTCTTCATCTCACTCTTTTCTCCCCTCTCTGTCCCACAGGGTGCCCTGACAATTTTACCGATTCAAAATGTTTAAATCCCATTACGGCTTTTCAAGGCTGCATGAGACTCATCTTTATTGATAACCAGCCCAAGGACCTCATTTTAGTTCAGCAAGGTTCCCTGGGGAATTTTAGTGATTTGCGCATTGATCTCTGTGGCATCAAAGACAGGTAATTATTCTCTCTTCTTCTTGTGTGTTTTGTTTTCTTTCAGCCAAGTGGCTTATAAGTACAGTTTGCTGTAAGTGAAAATTCTAATCCTCCAACATTAGGTGAAATGGAGTAACTGGAGAAAGTATTGCTGGGAAGAATTTGGAATTGCACGAAGCATCATCTCTTCCACTCACTCTCTCCTTCTCTCTCTCTCTCTCTCTCCCTCCCCCCTCCATATTAGTTTGTGGGAGATGGAGTATGCAAATTAAATCAAGCTGCAGATTTGTGCAAAGATTAAATTTTATGCACAAACAGAATTTGATAGCTTTGAAGTTGTAAAGGGATGGTAAAGAAAAGGAGATGTTTGAATGATCAAAACATGTCATTCCCTTATCACACTTTCTGTTTTGCTTAAATGGAATCCTTTACAGGTTGCAGGTTAGTGCATACCGTAGCAGTTTTTAGAAGCATAGTAAAAAATAAAATACCCCCCTCCCAATTCATGTTGTGGAAATTTCAGAATTTTAGGAAGTAACTTGAAAACTAGCCTGCGGTACCAAAGTGTGATTTCCCCCTTATCCAGTTTCCAAGTTGCTAGTGATGAGTTAACTTCAGATGACCAGGAAAAGAAGCTCTGCAGACATAGCTACAGTGGTACCTCTGGTTATGTACTTAATTCATTCTGGAGGTCCGTTCTTAACCTGAAACCGTTCTTAACCTGAAGCACCACTTTAGCTAATGGGGCCTCCCGCTGCTGCCGCACCACCACCACACGATTTTTGTTCTCATCCTAAGCAAAGTTCTTAACCCGAGGTACTATTTCTGGGTTAGCGGAGTCTGTAACCTGAAGCGTATGTAACCTGAGGTACCACTGTATTATTATTAGCATGTCCTCTGGTAATTGATGAACCTTGCTTCTGAATAGGCATGCATTAATTTGCACTATAAAATAGGGATGTAGAAATTATGATGATTGATTTTAATGTTTTTCTTGGAATTACTGTACTGTTTGAATTTGTACTTTAATATATAAACCCACCCTGAGACTGTGTGTGATGAAGAGTGGGTTAAAAAAGAAGTGAACTGTGTGGCTTAGTAAAAGTGCTTGTGAGCTTGTAATATTTTGTGGTCTTGTTTGCCAGTTTTCACACTAAGTGAGAAAATAATCTATGTTCAAGTTGCAAAAGTCTCTCTGTGGAGGGGGCAGAAGAGGTCATATATGTGAATCTGTGCTTTTCAATCTTACCTCATTATGAATATATACTGAATTTTCAGAATGTATCTTGCTTATTTTTAGTTTGAGCTTTAAGCTCCCAATTAATTTCTTGGTTTGGGGATGGATGTGGGAGGTGTGTGTATGTGTAGAGGCAGTGTTCAGAGCTAGGTGAAAAGACTTTGTTTCTGTAAAGTCCTTGCTCCCATATGCCAGAAGGAATGAAAGAGGCCATAATTAAAATAAATTAGGACACAGTTATATTAAATATCTAAAATGGATATTAGTTCAGTTAGTCTAACTAAAGATGAGTGAACTTGTCTCTGAAAGCATCCTACTTTTCCAGGCTTTCTTCAAGAAATCAAGGGCAGGGACCTTTCTCTTTTAAAATGAGGAAAAACCAAATGCAAAAGAATCACCTTCCTGCTTACCTTCCTGCTGCTCCAGTGATCTTTTCCCCTGCAAGCTTCCGAGGCTCTTATTTCTGAGTCAGTGATGCAGGCATAACTACCACTTCTGCTGTGGTAGAATGACACAGATTCCCAAGCATTTCATTCACTTAGTCATATCTACAATAGTACTCAGTTACAAAGCCTAGAAAAATTCTACCTATATTGTCCCCATGTTACCTTATAGCTAAGATACAGATAGCACAGAACTTGGAATGCTGATAATCAGGCGAGCCCCCAGATGACAACTCACGCATATGTATTTCACCATACATGCAATCTGACCCACTTTTGACATTACTGTTGAAGCTGGAAGAACAAAAAGTGTATCAACCAAATTACACGAGCCATAGTTCTCTGGGTCACATCATATGTTATGAAAGACAAATGTGGGTTCTTAAATATGTATGCCTGGATGTCAGGGAACCTGACAGACATGACTTCATGCATACTTGAAGGGTGATCAAATAAATGATAAAGAAACTAATACTTTTGTTAAAATAAATGGTATAAACCTGGGTGGGGTTCAGGGGTTCCAGCTAACCCCAGCATATGTACCATCATACTAATTTGACCCTTAGGGATGGATGAACCTGTCTGTTTCCTGTTTGCAGCATGTGTTCATTCATAGGTCCATTCGCTTCTATTTCTACACTCACCTGCAATTTATTTTTTTAAAAAAGATCTACATAAAAATTTGCATGCAAATCCATAGTTAAATACTATTTTGGGATATGTTCTATTTTTTAAAAAATTACATGGATTGTGACATGTTTCTTTGAGCCAAGAGCTGTATTGCAATATTGGGAGAAGTGTAAAGTCCCATGGATAGCTATATCCTCCTCCTTCTCCTCTTCCTCCTCCTCCCTCTTTGTGAAGATCTGTACTTAATCCAGGCACAGATCAAGTCAAGAAGACGTTGGCCCTGAAGACATATTTCAGCTTCCATCAGCACAAGTCAGCATGGCCAATGCTCAGAGATTATGGGAGTTGTAGCTCCGCAACATCTGGAGGGCCACATGTTCCACACCCCTGAATTAATATCAGAATTCACAAAGACTGGATATCTGCCCACTCCATTCCTACTCCACTCCGGGGGGGGGGGGCTCTCTAAAGCTTATCCGGTCTACACTTACTTTCAGGATCAGCACAGATACTGGCATCTACGCAGTGAAAACAGAAACAAAACCACATTGCAACACTGTACCTGCTTTTTTTGTACTTCAAGTTTTATATTTTGCATTAAAGAAGTATACACTATGATTCCACAATAATATATCTAGAATACCAGTCACCAAATAATTAATGTAATGAGAGCCCCAGAGTCCATCATTCTGTACTGCAGTGTTCCATATGTGTTATTTCAACCTCTTTGAAAAGCATCCCCAGTGCTTACCACTGAAAACCTCTGTAAAATTACCTTGTTGAAGTTGTGAAATTCTTCTGCAGTAAATCTCAGCTCTGTCGCTGGTTGGCTGATAAAATAGATGAATAGAATGCTCCAGCTTTTCAGTGAAGAGGAATTTTATCTCTCTATTTTCTACCAGAAACCACAATAAGGATAATGAAATTTCTGTCGAGCACACGGATGACTTTGATGAACACGTAACGGATATTTTAAGCACCACAGGTTCTATGGAAAGGCACTAAGTTTACAAAAGCAATTTCAGAAGGTTTCAAAGGGACTTGGTGGATTACTGGGTGATGGACGCTATCATCACAGCCTCTGTGGAAATCTAGGTGAAACCAATTAACAGCAAATAGATGAAAATACAGAAGGACAAATTTTTGGGGAAATGGCTCTGGGAAGTCTCACTACTTTCCTATTAGTTTGTCATCATTGGTTTCAAGTACAAAGATCATAGGTCACAGACAGGCAGCGGGTGGGTGGGTAGTAACATGGTTAATGAAATATAATCCATCTTTTCCTGTAATGGTAAAAATTGAACTTCTGCAATGAATCCCAGAAATCCAAATTGGGATGTTTGTGACCTATTGCTTATCCCCTCAGTCCTCATGTAACTGTAATTTGTCTCATTCCCCCCTTCCTTACCCATGTCTTTTCATACCTTTTATTGTTTTTCCCATTGTTCTTGAACAGCGACCTATTTTTACCCACTCTCAAATAACTCACTCTCTTCTGCTGCTCAGATTTTTTTTTAGAAACCCAAAGAATTGTGATTTGTATATGTACGGTGTATTTTTTATTTTAGTTTGGGCCCACCATAAATTGGGTGAAGTAACACTAAAGTCTTGTCTTAGTCTACCCTCTTGATTCAGAATGGCAGCTGGCATTCAAATGTCAACGAAGACGCCCCACCTCCACCCCAGACTCTCATTCTGAGTTTAATATTTTAGTGGCAGCCAAATCTATGTCAAAAAACAGGCAAAGTCAGGTCAAACTGATATTTCGGACCACCACATTGATTCTAAATGGCTCCCAGTATCCAAACAGTGATGAAGTCTGCCACCTCCACCTCACAAATGTCCTTATGTCATATTCGGTGGCAATATACTGAGAAGCAGCTAACCCTCTAGAGAACAAATAAATGGACAGACAAAACACTTTCCAATATATACAGATAAAACAATTCAGGTACAGCTATTTGTTGCCCTGATGTTCAATCCAAACAAAACTCCAAGAGAGAAGGTCTTAGATGGGACAAAGCATGAAGACAGGATGTGATAGCTAGACTTGTATGTTGTTAATAGTCCCTACCTTTCCAACATAAATGAGATATATTATATACTTTGGACACAAAGGCTGTAGAGTGCAGATCACTAGTGAGATGATGTGCAGAGTGAAAGAAAGGATACCCATTGGCTACTTCAGAAGTAAGGAAAGCATGACAAAAACTCTGTTCCCACCCATGTTAATGTCACTGAACTTTCTCCCCGGTTTGATAATTTTCAAGTGCATTCTGTTCCTCATTAAATGATGAATAATGCAAAACCAACCAACCAAACAAACAAAACACCAAAAAAGGGAAATTATTTTTGGCACAGCACTCCTCCTAATCAGAGATTGCTTTTAAAATAGATGATTCTCCTTTCTGCCTGCCCTGATGTTCTTAAACCAACCTGAATTTATGCTTGGAAATTTAATTTCAGACTTAGCATTTTCTGCTCAAAATTGTGCATGTTGTATTATAGAAAGCAGACCAGAGGGAAATTACATCCTATTTCAGGCTAAGAAAAGAGAGAGACAGAAATGAAAAGGAGAGGAGAAAATGAAAACAGAGGGTTGTTTTTGCACATGCAAGCTCTTTAACATTTAATTTGTGGGATACAGCTGATCTCAACTTATTAATTCTTTTTCTTTAAAACTGGCCATGGAAACTGGAGAATCTTCTTTC